TTCATATAAACGCCGACACACCGCCATTTGTCGGAAGATATGAACACTGATACATCACCGTCAGTCGCCGTCGTCACCACTGTCAGCCAATGTTGTGTCCATCACCACCACTTTCCCAGTCGATCTCTCTTTCTCTCTTATCTACCAGATTTGTTTCATCTTTTACACACAATCATAAGTCAAAAATACAACCACCAACACCGGCCAACACAACAACCACCACCAGTCAATGTGTCACAACCAGGAATTCTGATACCTTGTAAAACACTTAACAAAGAATGACATTGTGGCTAAAACTAGAAAACATGTATGGTGTTTATCCAATGACAACAAAAATCCCATCAAATACCCTATACAAACTTTCAAATAGTCAACAAAAGTTGGAAACCCTAAAAAAATATCGGTTCAAGTCCATTTTGGACTAGGATTTTCTTATTGGGCCTAATGGACCAATAAGCTTCCAATTTGACTATTTTGGGCTTAGAACTCTTAAATGGGCTCTAATTGGACCCACTTTCATTGATTTTAACATTTTGGGCCATAATGGGCCTAGAATGAAATAAAATACTCTTATTGGGCCATAACAAATTTAATTAGCCCTTTTGGGCCATACAACTCGTACTTTGATTGTTTTGGGCCGTGAACCATCTCCAAAGACCTATTGGGCCGAAAAATCATCAAAATGGGCCATAATATGGATTTAAGCACAAAAAGGCCCCAAATTCTTTCTTTCTTCTTCCTCTCTCGGCCCAACTACAAAAATAGGGGGGAAAGAGTTGACTTTTAAATGCCACCTCATATTTGTCCATTGGAAACCCATGCATAAATCTCATACTTCCATGCATGTCAACTCAATTCACACTCTCTTCTCTCCCCTCCTCTTAATTCGGCCGAAACACACACACACCCCATCACCACTTCAAAGTTTCTTCAAAACTCACTCTAGAACTCCTTCACTTTTCCTCCAAAATTTCGAGATTCACAAGGGGCTACAAGAAGATCTTTTCCTAATATCACTAATCCCTGGTAAGTTGTTGTTTGATCCATACTTTAACTTCTTGATTACCTCAAAAATCTCCCTTAACTCATACAAAATTCGTGATCTTGCTTCTTAGAACACATCTAAGCCAAAGATCTTCCAAGAAGCTTACTAGGCCGAAAAATCTCACCAGTTTCTTTCATTTCTTCTTCAAAACCGAGATCCACAAGAAAAAGGTGAGTTCATACCCTTCTCTTTTCGGTTTTCACAAGTTTTATGGGGGAGAATACAAGTAAAATGTGTAGATCTGAGTTGGAGCACCATCTCTCTTACATATCTGATAATGGGGATGTGGTAAGACGAATCAGAAGATCAAAGACAAAGCAGAATATTGAAGGTTTGTCATCTGCACAAATCTAAGTTGGAGTGTCTTCTTCACCGTCGATGTCATTGCTAGGGTCTACACCTTCTTCCTTCATACAATGGTAAGCTCCATCGTACAGTGGTAAGCCCCATTTCCTCTCACTGGCAGATCAATTTCGAATAACAATAGGTATGTGTGATTTAATCAACGGCGCAAAAAAAACCCTCATGTGCATGGGTTTGTTCGATCGGCACACAAAAACCCTATCTTTTCATCTCCGATTCCCTGTAATCTTCTCATTTAGACCCGAAACCCAAAATTAAAGGGGGAAGAGGGTGATTTTTGGAAGTCTTTTAGTCTAAACCAACAGAAATCACGCATAGGGGTTGCAAAAAGTAAAGCATACATGTGGATGATGAACTCGTGATGAATCGATGCATGGAGGGTGGGATTCGGAACATATTATCGTGATTATTTTCTTCAAATGAGTGATTTTTTTTGTTAAGATGAAAGCAAAGAGGAATTGTGCTCTTATGAGAGAGAGAGAGAGAGACAGAGAGAGAGCATATTTTATTTATTTATTTTTATTTCTTTATAAAAAAAATTATGAAAATAAAAAAGGCAAATTTTTTTATTTTTCTTGTAAATAGAAAAACATTTAAATAAATAAAAAACTAAAAAAGATAAAAGTAAGGGCAAAATCGTCATTATGAAAAAGTTAAAAGCAAATTGGACTAAACCCGCAACAAAAATGAAAACTTTGGACCTGTGGTGCTGGTCCAAACCTTTTTGGACCAAAGTGACAATTTTGAGCAAACCACAGGGACCATTTGTGCAGTTTAGTCTTATATAAATTCTGGTCGATTTGCGGATATCCGAACAATTTAAACGTAATCGTACGCTTCGTCATTACCCAAGTTTGGGGATTGACCCAATGAGCTGTAACGCAAATGTACAAATGAGGTGAGCCATGAGGAGTCGTCCAAACATCACAAGTTAAATTTATACCGGTTTCTAAGTTTTGAAATCCTAAAATCATTTTATTTTTTGCAAGTTTCCACATTTCGATACAATCACGTCTAATGGAAGTAAAATCGATTGTTTGTCGTCGAAGTGGTGAAAAGGCAAACATTCTTAAATCACGAACTTCGCCATCGTATCCCAAACTCGATTCGCTTCATAATTTCAAAATTTAATATCATTCGTCATTGTTGTTTGACTATGCCCCGACCCAAATATCACCCACGGGCAACTCTTGTTCATATGAGTTTTCAAAGTTGAACTCTCGTCTTCCTTGAAAAAAATACCACATTTCTTGCATAACACTTTTCTTGGACCGTTCGACATTATACACAAATCATAATTGCACCAAATCGCCGGGTTTCTAGTCGTTTCTTTGATGCCAATAACGGTAATATTAATTGATGAATTTCCAACACTAGTGGAAGCTTGTGATTACCCACATCCTGACAGGTTTAAACTGGCGGTTTGATTCCTGAACCGGTCGATTTTTCAAACCGTTTCCAGAATGGTTTTTTTGTGCACAACTACTTCTGGGTTAAGTTATTAGTTTGTATTTTATATTGTTTAAGTTTTTGTTGATTGTAAAACAAGTAAAAGGTCCGATTGTCATTTATCTAGTCTCTACAGAGTACAGACTAGAGTTGCACACTTGGGGCGGCCCATCAAGCTTTTTTTCGGACCCAACCCTTATTTTCTGTCGATCCATACGATTCCTGCCCACACGTGTTTAGACAGATTTTATTCTTTTTTGTTTTCTCTCCACTTTAACAATATAAAATTATAAATAGTTAGTGAACAGCAATGATATAATATTTTAATTATAGTATGAAGGTATCATGTTATTCAGCCATCAATGCTACAACAGAATCGTTGATCAGTTCACAAATGAATGCATACTAGACACAAAATAAAACTAAGTATATACTATGAACAAATACTTACAAATCCCCCTTCCTCAATTATAATTTGTAAACTAACCAATAACCTAAATCAACAATATTTAATCACCAATTCCCTTCATTCTTCCAAAACCCATTTCACATAATCCTCTCTTTCCGTTTCTTGCAAATCCCAAAAAATATTCACTCTTTCATCCTCCTCTCGTATCTTTGTAATTGCTTTAAACTTTTCCGATCGAATCAACGACTCCATTTTTGAAATCTCACAGGTAATCATACAACGTTTTTTATCAAGTTCCTCTTCTCGTTCAATATCTTTATTAATTGTATTTGCTATTTTCCCCATAGTGTCTGCAAGACATGTAACTGCATCATTAAATCCCTTAACCATAAGATCCACTCTCCCTTTTCTCTTGTTATTACGCACACTTGAAGTTTCTTCATATTGCATATTGTTCACATTCATAGGTGGAATATGACTCGATGTCATGTCATTGGAATCGTTACCCAAATGTTGTGTTTGTTCTTCTATGTTTGCCTCCTCTTCCATCTCGACTAAATCTCTAACTGTATTTCCTTCAATTCGATCTTTTCCAAAAACAACACACAGTTTTTCATAGTAAGGGAATGTTTTGTTCCTCCATTTTGATGCCCCTTTATGAACCTATTTCATATAATTATATTACGTAAATTAAACTTTAGGGGTTGTTTGATAGTTACTGACCAAGTCAGATCAGCCCTAAGGCTTCCAACTGTGATATCAAACAGTCTGAATCTGACCTGACCCAGCCTCTGTAAGAGACAAATCAAAGAGTCTCTAACATAAGAAATTAAGAATATAGTAATTTATTTTACCTGAAGATATGATTCCCAAACTTGATCGTCTGCGATCATGCAATGTTTTACAGTGTCATAACTGAATCCACTAGTGTGTGAACTATTTAACATGTCGTGTACAGCTTGCCAATCTCTTTTCATCACTTTTATCTTTGATTCTATATGTGGTTTACCTAAAATACCTGAATTTGGCATTGATTTTTTTAATAAATGTTCAAGATGAGTTAAATATCCAGACTTGAAGCCTTGATCTGCTCTAAATCCTCCTGTATTCACCATACTAACTAAAGCCTCTACAAGTTTGGTTTCTTCAATATTTGTCCAAGCACGATAATTTCTACTTTGACTCGTCATACCTATAAACATCAATAAATCTTTTATATATATATTGTGACTTGAGAGCCACTAATTAAAAAAACAGAGCCCGAATTAGTAATAAGCATATGATCGCATACCCAGAAACAACATCCCTTTACCATTTGAATATAATCATCAAAGAAAATTCATTTATGTTCCTAATGAAATACGAACTCCAATCTTGTTGTTGTGTTATATGAACTTTACAATCAACCAGCTATGTTACATTGTCCAATTTAGCATCACCACAAATTAAATGGTCCATTGGATTAGGTTAAGTATTCCAATTAAGCAACTTTATCCTCTAAGAGAAATATCACTAAATTCAACGGCGATCATGAAGTTCCCAAACAAAATTCCGAGAGTGAAAAAAGAAATTTGAACGAAAAAGATATATGATGAAGTAGGAACACAGACAGATGAAACTGTAATACCAAATGTAAGTCCGGGAACTCGGATAGATTCATACTCAAACATATACACATGTATGTGTGTTTGTGTGTGTGTGTGTGTTTTCTGGAAGAAAAAACAACTAACCTGACTTGGATTTCTCTGCAACGCTATTGGCATTAGATTGAGGTCTCCCTCTCTTCCGAGCATCCATGGCTGGATTAAGTGAATTATAGTGAATTGACGACGCCAGGTGATACGATCTGAAAATGAAACAGATGGGAACCTCAAATCCCAAAAACCCTAGAGGAGGATTCAAGCCAAAAGGGGTCGAAAACGCATATCAATTTCCGATTATAGCGTATTTTCATTTATTTATTTATCTTTTATTATAAAATTTAGTTTTTTTTAATCATATTTTTATAACTTTAAAAATCTGATAAAATTTAATTATATTTCTTATATTCAACCTCTTATTCATACCGTGAAATAGACGCCCCTCCTTAGTATGTGATTTAAATCACATATACAATGCAATGTTTGAAGAAATTATGTCATCTTTTCCACTTTTTATTAGACAATTAGGTTAAAACGAATCTAAAATTTAATTAATTAAGTAATAAAGTAATATATCATTAATTAATTTAGAAAACTTATAAATTGTAATATTGTATTTTTTAATAACTTTCTGAGTTGTAAGTATTTAATTACACAGTAAATTAAGGATGTTATTTGGGTCGGAACCGAACCGAACCCGAAAACCGAATATGGGTAATTTCATGAACCGAAAACCGAACCGATTAACCAATACGGGTTCGGTTCGGTTCGGGTATTACCCGAATAACTCGAATAACGTGTACAAGATGATTAATGACCTAATATAACCGAAAAAACCCCGAATAAACCGTATTAGGATTCTATAACCCGGATAATAGAATAATAATGTACTTTTATACATCAACATAAAACATTCAAAGACTAACATAACACAATAACAAATTGAAATAATAACACTTACATAGTAGATTAATATAATGAGAATTAATTTCTTACTTGAGTTTCTTAAGTTGAAACCCAATTTTCCATGACTAGACAAAGTATGAATTCATGAATCCTTAGAGACAATAGGAATGGTCGATTTTTGAACGTTTGAAACAAGAGGAAGGATCAACAAAAGTGATTTCGAGTTTGGAAATAGATGAGAAGATTGGTCGATTTTGAAACGACGAGAACAAGTGTAGGGTTTTTTTTCTGTTATGAACGACGAGGACAAAAATGTGAATCATGATTTTGATTTCTATCGATCAAAGAAAGGGACAGAGGAATGCTTATTCGGGTCGGGTATTTAGAACCGAATATGCTCTTATTTGGGTAATCCAAACCGAATAACCCGATAACCGAATAAGCATAATATAGATACCCGAAACCCGAATCGAATTGCTTATTCGGGCCTAATTCGGTTCGGTTCGGTTCGGTTCGGGTTTCGGTTCGGTTCGGGCTTTCGGGCCAAATTCTCATCCCTACAGTAAATTGTAAGTATTTTAATTATAAATGGAGATTTTTAAAACTCTTATTTTTGGTGCATGATTCTCGTTGAACATACGGAGATGATGACACAACCACAAGGGAGCGAGTGGGAAGAAAAACGTTTGTTGGCTAAAACGCCACTTTTGTCATTATAACTTACAATCCCAATAAATCTTCAACTCTACTAATTTCGTGAGATTAATATAAATTATTACTGTCTTCGTCGGTTTATTTTCAAAAGTTTATGTTCATTTACTGCGTCATGTGTGTCTTTTTAGGCTTACTGGTCATAACCTTGAAATATGTGCACTGGTGGTGTTTTTCTTAAGATATGTTCTTTATTTTTAGTAACTTTGTAAAATTTAAGTATTTAATTAAAAACGTAAATTCACCTGTTTTACAAAAGTCATGACTTTATATAATGCAACATATGTTTGAGTAATGACAAAAAAACCCAAAAAAACATCGAAATTGATTTGATACAAAACAAACAAAACATGTCTGTAATGAAATTAACATAAAAAATACAATACGTAATTATAAATAAATAAATGAATATGATGGATGAAGTGTTATTTTTTTAAAATGAGTAAAAGATGCTACAAAAAAGTTGATTATAAATTGCGAAAAACTTCCTTATAAACAACATTAGAAATTTTATTTGTGAGTCTACCATTTTTATCTAAAATTAATAATTTTAATCCCTCTCTGCTTTGAACTCTAGATAGGGCAACATACAATTGCTCATGTGAAAAAACTAGATCGTTGAGAAACAAACCAACCTTCAGATAACGATTGTCCTTGACTCTTATTAATAGTCATTGCAAAACATACGGCCAAAGGAAACTGTCTTCTTGTGAATTTGAACGGAATTTTTTTTTCTGATGGACTTAAAGACATTCTTGGAATAAAAATCTGGTTTCCAATATTAGTTTCAGATATTATACGTGCCTCAATAACACGTTTGCCCAATGATATCAACTGTAATCTTGTGCCATTACATAGGCCGTTTTTCTGATCAATATTTCTCAGTAACATTACTGGAACACCAAAATTTAAAACTAACTTATGATTTGGTAGACCGGATACTTTGAGACCATTTAATACATCAGGCGAGTATAAATTTGCATCAAACTGATCATAGACAAATTCGGACTCACATATGCTATCTAAACTTAAATATTCAATCTCATTTCCTGGAAACTCCTTAAGCAAATAGTCGTTTATTTCCTGAACAACTTCATTTTTTGGAGCAAGTATCGCTCTTTCTTGGAAATAATTTGTACCGCTGTACTTCTCCAAAATTGAAGGATATACAAACTCAATTAATGAACCTATAGGATCATATGGATCATTAATGAGAATATCATCCGGAATATCGATAATCGTTTCGTCGTCGTTCGGACCACCGAGTTTGCTTTCCCCTATATCCAATAGCCAATTTGCAAAATCTCTTATTTTTTCTATATCAGATTGATCACTTCCCACAGTTAGTCTCATGTTTTTTGTTAATCTATAGACTTTGCAATGTTTCCATAAATATGAAGAACTCAAAGAAACATTAACAATGTTTTGTCTACTGCCACCCGGAACAACAGGTAGTATTTGTCTGAAATTCCTCAAAAGACAATAACTTTCCCTCCAAACGGAATATTTGAGATGCTAGAATTTCCACACCTTAATACATCTTTCAAAGCTCGATCTAAAGCTTCAAATGCATGCTTATGGACCATAGGTGCTTCATCCCAGATTATCAAAGAGGGTTTTCTTAATAAGCTAGCCAACTCACCATCTGGATTTATTTTACAAACAGAATCCTCTGTAAGTTCAAATGGAATTATAAATCGAGAGTGTGTTGTTCTACCACAGGGCAATAATAACGAAGCAATACCGTTTGAAGCAACATTTAAAACAATATGACAATCAGATCTAATTGCTGCAGATATTGTCTTCCATAGAAAAGTTTTACCCGTTCCACCATAACCATAAACAAAGAAGACACCTCCTTTATTTTCTTTAACAACACTCATGATGTTAAGGAAAATGCTACGTTGCTCATTTGTTAATGCGAGAAACATACGATCAAAGTCATTCTTTATAACAGGAATGTTGTAATCTAGCTCCTCGGTGATAAGTCGATTGTTTAAAGAATAAATTGATTCAACATCTGGGTAAGGCATCTTTGTGAAGTTTTTGAGAGCGGAGTTGTTTCGAAGTAAAATTTGTTCTATTTCAAACAAAGTTAAGTTCTTAAGTTCATCTTCACTGAGTGATAAGTCTGCACCATAAATTTTAAATTAATTACAAAATATAAAATACAATATTTAATAACATTTTTAATAATTATTTAATGGGTGTTGAATAATAAAAATAAATTATTTTAAATACAAATGAAGAAAAAAATTTAATACCCAGACACTTGAACCTTTGTCGTTGGTTATATAGAATTCCATCCGCCAAATATTCTCATGTATTTTCCCAAACGGCTTCTGGTTTAGACATACTATTACACATCAACAATGTAGCAAATAAGAAGCGTATGTAAAAACCAGTAGGGATGTCAAAAAGTCCCGTGGGGGCTCCGTCCTGTTTGGGGGAAATTTTTTAAAAATTCGGTGGCGGAGACGGGGACGGGGGCAAGGTCAACCCCCGTTTGGGGCAATCCCGTCCTGAAACCCCCATGGGGACCCCGTTAATAAATTACATTTATATTTACATATATTCATATATAAATATAATAAACAATAATATGATTTTGAGCTTCCAAAATTCATCAAAAAACATGTTTTTAAGTTGTTAGTATAATGTTTTTAAAATGCCATAACTTTTTTATTTTTAACATGTAAA